GAACCCCACAACAGAGGAGAAGTCAACGCATGCTGAGGAGACATCCGAGACAACTGAGAATCCCATAACAGAGGAGAGGTCAACGCATGCTGAGGAGACATCCGGGACATCGCAGAACCCCACAACAGAGGAAAAGTCAACGCATGCTGAAGAGACATCCGAGACATCAGAGAATCCCACAACAGAGGAGTCAACGCATGCTGAGGAGACATCCGAGACATCGGAGAACCCTACACCAGGGGAGCAGTCAACGCATGCTGACGTGACATCCGAGAGAACGGAGGCGGCTACAGCTGGTAAGAAATCTCGCTTTCGCTATCTCATAATGTTTTTTAATCCTGAACCGGATGATATAACTTAAAATACTGTACTGTTTCTCACTTCTGACTTTTCTGTATGTGTTTCTTATTATGGCTCGTCCTTCTGTGTAGGAGCTTTCAGGCCTACTGAGGAGACCACTGCTTCTGGCGTCGTAACATCTTCCGGTGTCGATGTTTTGCCGTTCAAGTGGGAGCAGTATTTTACTTTGTGTACTTTCCTTCTTCTTTCTTCTCTGATATAATGTATTTTATCCTCCCATTCCTATCGCAATAATAAACTTGTGCAGTATTCTCGCATACTTCTTCCGTCTTATTTGCTACCTATGCCTTTCCTTGTTATTTATTTTACCAGCATATAGACTGCCAAGGGAAATAAAAGTTACGACCACTTAATTGGACGACTCTCAGGGACAGAATGATGGGCAGGCAGGGTTTGCGCGCTAGCGGAAAAATACTAGCAGCTTCTTCCCGTAGCTGAGCACCCTTTTTAAAAACATTCATAATTCTGATGAAACGCTATCAGCAGTAGTCCTAGATTACAGAACGAACAAGCATAGTGCATTTCAGAAACCGCCGGAGAACCACCGGCTTGTTGATTTGCATCCAGGACACCATACACGCAGTCGTAGTTAGTCGGTACGTGTATTTAGATACATTCACAGACGGTTTATGATAAGCGAGGGTGACGCAAGCCAACGGGCTGATGCCATCACAGTAAAACTGAACCGCGTAGAGACGAATCAGTTCTCCAACAGGCAAACAATGGATATTTTATTCAAAAAGACCCTAATGAAACAATTAAAGTAAATGGGTCAAAAGAGCGGAAATTAGTTAGCCAGGGTTAATTTCAGACAACTATTTGTTTTAGTATACCGGCAAAGACGTAACGTAGTATAGTTATTTCGGGCTAGTGGCCCTCGTCAGCTACGTGCAGCCAACTCTAGTGTAGCCGCTGAAATTGCCGCCACACCCTAGTTTCGAACTCGCGCATCGCTGGTCAGGGGCAGACGTCCAAACCATTGAGCCATCGAGTTCGATG